TTAAAACAAATATACCCCAGATATGTCTCAGCTGCAACTGATACACTTGTGCATTGCGATACACAAAATACGTACGGCCAAAGTCAGAGGTGAGTTCTTTTGTTTTTGTTGGCAAATGACTAGACCCCACACGTACAATTCAGGTAAATTCATTCACCACATGCGTATTGTTGAAACTAAATTTATGCACATTCGTGGACGGAGGTGAAATCCAGTTAGAATTACCTATGATCTCCGGCGAAGGGAGATGGGGTGTTAGAGTAAATGTAGAAATATAAAGAATAATCCGAAGGATGACTTTGAGGTACAACTTGAATCGTTTCCTTAAAGTGTTACTTGTCCCCACTTGAATGAGTTCGCTAAAGGGTTCTTGGCAACTCACTTCCAAGATACAACAAAGTATGAAATATTCGATTAGCAAAACCGAATTGTATTTCCCTTAAAAATAACTAGAAAGAAATTATATGAATGTGATAGAGAGAGAAGAGAGAGTAAGGAAATCGTGTAGACAACAAATTTCTAAATGAATTTCTCTTCTGCCAATGTTACCAACACATAGAGAGTATTGCACCTGTTAGACACATCCTTTGGTTTGAGTATATGTCTTTTCATCGTGGGATACAACTCATTGCAGCAGTATGTCTAATAGACATATCTAATACAAAACACCAATTACCCAAAGGTCATATTTGTTGTAAAGCATGGTTAAGATGCCCAACCCAAGTGTATGGCTGTTAGCAACAATGAAAAGCTGCAATACTTCAAATTGAAGAGATATGATTGTTGGGCAATAACCCAAATCTATTCTCTGCCAATACAAAACGCACGCATATACATATACATATAATATAGATTATATATATAGATACATACATACATACATACATACATACATATACATACATATATATATATATATATATATATATACTCTCGAAATATTCAACAATCCTTCCCTATTTTAAGAATATATAATAAATGGTATTATAATAGGGAATTGTTACTGGCACTCCAAAATTCTCATTCTACACTCCAAACTTTTTATATTTAGAAAGAAAAATACACTTATGAGAAGTGTAGAATCAGATTTTTGGAGTGCCAATAACACTTTCGTTACAATAATTCTCTCTTTATAATTAAACACAAGCATACCGATATAATCATGCATACAATAAAGGTGTCTTTCGAATTAAACCTTTAATTACTGTAAGTAATTCAAAGTTATAATGAATGCGATGGTGACCTAAGTTTAAACCAACTATTATTATGTTAAAACCGGAATCACTACACACATGACTATGTCTTATTTCCTTAAAGAAATTTCTGATCTAATTAAGCACTATTATGGCCTTGTGCTTCATCTTGGTTTCATGAACATTTACAAGAGAAAACCCAACTCTTGGTAGAAGCAGTACCACTTCTTATGAGGTTCCTTCCCATGTTGCTGCTACTATAGACATATCTACAAATAACCTCATTAAGAGATAAAACTCATCCTCCTAAACGTAACAGTCTTGCACTGATCATCCTAGAATGAGCTATATATTAATTTCCAGTGCTTTCACAACCACTTATATATAACTTGTTATTACCCACTAAACTTTTAAACTAGTGATGTTCTAGACAAAGTCAAGTTACCATTATTGGTGGCTAATTTTCAGTAAAGGGTTTTAGCCCCATTCCACTAGATGTACTAACTACCAAAGCTTTTGAAAGTGCTTTCGTTAACGGATATGCCAAGTTATTACTTGATTTAGCATAAATAATATTAATAACCCCATCAGTTATTAATTGCTTGACATATTCATGTCTCAAGCTAATATGTTTAGACTTTCCATTGTATACCTTATTGTATGCTCTAGACAAAGTAGCCTCACTATCACAGTATAAAGAAATGGATGGCATTGGTTGTGGCCACAACTCTATTTCCAATAACAAATTTCTAATCCATTCCGCTTCTTTACCTGCTGCCGCTAATGCTATAGATTCCATAGTTGAATGTGCTATACACATTTGCTTCTTCAAAGCCCAAGAAATTGCTCATCCGACAATTGTAAAAATCCATTCTGATGTAGACTTATTATCATTAGCACTTGTTATCTAACTTGTATATGAATATACTTCAAGTACTGCTAGAAACTCATAGTAAGTTAAACTCAGGTTAATAGTTCTTTTAAGATAACCAAAAATTCTATTTATTGCTTTCTAATAGGCAGTACTTGGACAACTAGTGTGTCTAGAAAGTTTGCTTACTGCAAATGCGATATCTGACCTGGTACAATGCATTTCATACATTAAACTTCCGATTACACTAGCATACTCAAGCTGTGCAACAGACTTGCCAAAATTATTAAGCAAATTATCACTAGGGTCATAAGGAGCATTTGCTTCTTTTATTTATAGATGCTTAAACTTAAGAAGCAACTTTTCTATATAATGTGACTGACACAAAGCCTAACCCATACTATGCTTCTTTACTTTAATTCCCAAGATAGTATCTACTTCATTCAAGTCATTCATCTTAAATTTTGAATTTAGATACTCTTTAGTTTCAAATACACCTTTCATGTTTGTACAAAAAATTAGCAAGTCGTCGACATATAAACATATAACAACACCATAATCATTTGTGAATTTAGAGTATATGCATTTATCAACACTGTTATGTCTAAATCCATATGATAAAATGACAAAATCAAACTTTTCATGTCATTATTTTGGTGCTTGCTTCAATTCATATAACGACTTGACTAATTTACAAACTTTCTTTTCATTCTCAGGGAGAACAAACCCTTATGGTTGTTCCATATAGACTTCTTCATCCAAATCACCATTAAAAAAAAAAATGTTTTCACATTCATTTGATGCATATGCAAATTATATAAAGATGCTAATACAAACAATATTTTAATTGATGTGAGCCTAGCTACTGATGCATATGTATCGAAATAGTCTATTCCATTTTTCTGTTTGAAACCCTTGGCAACTAGCCTGGCTTTAAATGTGTGAATAAACCTGTCTGTATTGTATTTTCTTCTAAACACACACTTACAACCTATTGCTTTTGATCATTGGGGCAAGTCTGTCTGACTAGATATTAATGATTCAAATTCATCACCTATAGCCTCTTTCCAAAAGGTTGTATCTCTTGAAGTCATTGCTTCGCTTAGACTTTTAGGATCATTTTCAACATTCAACAATATGGGTATTTTTTTTCAGAACCTTTTTTCTGTTTCCTTCAACTAAAAATATAATAGATTGAGACGAAATAAAGTCTGGGCCTAGAGTCTTTTCTTTTCTTTTTTACAGTTTCAGACTGTTTTCTTTTCTCACCTTGAGAAGAACTACTATCCAGATTAGAGAAAGGTGTTTGATTGTTCTCTTTTCCAGACACTGAGTAGTCGTTATAGAATTTATTTTCTATAAATTCGACATCTTTAGACTCAACTACTGTATGTGAGTCTAAATTAAGCAATCTATATGCCTTTGAATTTTCTGCATATCCTACAAATATGCTTTTGATTCCTCTTGGACCCAACTTGAATCTCTTCGGATCGAGTGCTTTATAAAAAGCTACACAACCCCATACTCTCAAATATGAAAAATTTGGTTTTCTTCCTTTGCAAATTTCATGGTGACACATGTGTCTAAGTAGATGTAATTCTATTGTGTATATGACATACAGTAAACAATGCTTCACCCTATAAATATTTTGGAGTATTAGCATTAATCATCATGTAATTAATCATTTCAGTAAGTATCCTATTTGTTCTTTTTGCCAAACCATTTTGTTGTGGTGTATGAGGTGCAGTTCTTTGATGTATAACATCATGCTCTTCACAAAAAATATCAAATTCATGTGAAAAATATTCATCACCTCTATCACTGTAAATAAACATAAGTGAACTTTAAACAATCATCTATAAATATGATAAAATGTCTTTTTCATCCTCTTGTTAAAACACCATTAAATTCACATATGTTAGAATGTATTAAGTCTAATAAACTTGTATTTCTTTCAGCAATTGGAAAAGGTCTCTTAGTTATTTTTGCTTGAATACATGTTTCACATTTATCATTATAATCATCATTGCAAGAAATCAAACCAAGTGTACTCATGTATTCTAAAGATCTAAAATTTACATATGCTAAACGTAAGTGCCATAAATGAGAGGAAGATTCAACAATATAAGCAGAAGAATTCACTTTATTATTAATATTTAGTTTGAACATCCCATCACAAGAATACCCCTTCCCAACAAAAATCCAATTTTTCAAAATTATTAACTTGTCGAACTCTAGAACAGTCTTTATGCCGTTCTTACATAATAAATTTGCAGACATAAGATTATTTCTAATTTTTAGAACATGTAGTACATTAAGCAACGTCAATTTCTTTCCAGAAGTAAACTAAAGTTCAACAATTCATTTTCCTATAACTTTGGTGGAATTATGATTCCCCATTAAAGCATCTTGATTCTCCGTTGATGATTCATATGTCTTAAATAGTGCCTTATCATTGCACACATGTATAGTAGCCCCTGAGTCGAGCCACCAATCGGATGATTTTATTGTCGCTGCCATATTCAGTTCAGTAACCATGCCAATATGCATCATTGATACCATTGCAACTATGTTATCAATTCCAGAATTTTCCACCATATTTGCCTCTTATTGGCAAATTCCTCAGTTGCTTTTCGTGTCTACATATCTGATACAAAACGCCAATTACCCAAAAGTCATATATGTTGTAAAACATGGGTCAGATTCCCAACGAATGTGTACATTTGTTAGCAACAATGAAAAGTTGCAATGCTTCAAATTGAAGAGATATGATTGTTGGGCAATAACCCAACTCTATTCTCTGCCAATACAAAACACACACATATACATATACATATAATATAGATTTTATATATATATATATATTCTTGAAATATTCAACATGAGGTTGATTGGGAATCTGTGTTGGACTGCCTATATATCTCTGGGAAGGAGAATCAAACTATTGTTGTAGTTCTTATTAGAGTAATAAGAATGAATGGCTATGATATTGCCACTTGTACTGAGATTACATAGTTTGTTTGTCTTGTTAGTTAGAGTGCTCTACAACACTATAAATACTCATTCATGTACTTCTTCATTAAGAAAATACAAGTTTCAATTCTAAATTTCCCTCATCTTCTCTTGACGGTTATCTTTCTCTGCATTTTATCTGTTTCCTCAGCTCAATTTTGGTTGACATGGTATCCATTGCCTCTTATGCTTACGCTACAATCTTTGATCCATCATCTGCTTCCGCTACAATCTCTTTGACTTCTACACTGAGGATTATTGATTGGACTTCATCTTGATTGTTGAATGTCTTTCTACCAAAATAGAAGAATTTAGGGTTTATGTGATTCTTGAATCTTCGTTTGCTTCATTTTCTCTTCGGTTGCACCCCATGTGTTTGCTCAATTTCCTAATTCAAGATTTGTGCTTTCATCTACTTTTCTTCAACAAAAAATGGTAACTGCTTCTCAACTACAAACTTTACAGTCCCTAATCACTAATTAAATTTCAACTGTTTCAACTTCTGTGAATGTCAAATTGGATGAATCCAACTATCTGAATTGGAATTTTGAAATAAAGTTGTTATTAGAGGGTCATGTTGATGGTATAAACTCATGTCCTCCTCGTTTCTCCCTCTTTTTTTTTTCCTGGTGAATCAGGGATTGACTCTGCTAGTCCCTCTAATAATCTTAAGACTGATGATTACAAGGTTTGGAAAATGCATGATCATGTTATTATGCAGTTAATCACAACTACTTTGTTACCTAACGCTGATTACAAAGATGACATGGAATTGATTTCCCAGAATAGAAGGAAGATTGACCAAACTGAAATCCACCAGATCGAGATGGACCATTACCAAGAATTCCAGCAGTTTGATTATTAGAGCGATTTCCCCCAAAATTGCGATTTTGATTGAATTTGTTGCGATTCTGATTTCGTCCTCGATAATTCCCTCGGAATTCAAAGTTATGACCAGAAGTAGAACAAGAATTATTTAAAGATTGAGCAGCATAAGCATGAAATGGGGTAGACGAATTGGAACAGTCAATCTTGTTTTACGCTTTTGAAGGGAAATTTCCTTGCTCAAAAGTAAACCATGAAGTTCATCAGAAGTAACAGATTCATTTCTTGTTTCAGTAGAATCAACAAATGATTCATAAGCATCAGGAATACCATAAATAATATAAGCTACTAGATCATACTCAGAAATTGGTTCACCTGTAGTAGCCAATTTGTCAGAAATTTCTGTAATGGAATTGAGATAATCAATCATCGAAGAATCACCTTTTTGGATCATCTGAATCTTAACACAAAGACTATGAATGTGTATGCGAGAAGCATCGGCAAATCGTTTTTCCAATGAGAGCCACAGAGACATGGAATCATCCATTCTAACTGTTAGAGGAAAGAGATGTTTAGAAAGAGTCGAATTGATCCAAATCATCAAGATTTGGTCTCACTCACACCAAACTTCATGTGCAGAATTAATAACACAAATTCCAGTAAAGTCACAAACAAATTGAAAGGGACAAAAGTCAGTTCCATCAATAAGCTCTAAAACTTTAAATCGCTTCAGAATTGGAAGAAATAAGATGCTTTATCTGATGTAGTTGTGACGATTCAGCTTTGCCGACACCATACTAGCTATATTATGAACAGTCACAGAAGCGATCGAATCAATGAGAGGATTAGAGACTTCAACGTGAGGAGCAAAGGCTGAAGAATTCGCAGGAGAAGGAGAATTGGATGAGTTCATCGCTAAGCCATAGTGGAATCTCATAGAAAATCATAAAGAAAATTAGAGAAAGACTTGTTTGGCAAGAGAGAAAGTGAAAGAAAATCAAGAACATGGAAGCGGGAGATCAACATAGGTGGACTCTGGCGATGATACCATGTGGAAAATATTATCTTAGAGAGTAAGGAACCGGTTTTTTAGAGAGAAAGAGAATTGTGTAATTTGTTATAAAAATGTAAAAGTTATAGAGAGATAACCTTTATTCGGGACAGGAACGAAGCAGTTGTAAAGTATTATACCAACACAAGCTGTTGCAGAGGAAGTAATGTATATTATTACTATTAGATATTTTTCTCTTCCTTTTTTCTCTGCTTTGTTGAACATTCGTAAAGCTCTATTTATAGAGCATCACCATGGAAACAAACAAAAACACTGTTAAACATATGACATGTTCACTGTATGCATGTGGGCATACATATTATACTATTTACAACACTCCCCCTTGGATGCCCACATATCAACATCAGTTGCCTCATTAAAACCTTGCTTGGAAAAACCCTGTGGGAAAAAAAACATAGCGAAGGAAAAAGAGTACAACTTTATCCGGATGGTGTTGAGCATGCTTATGTTGCCTCGTTAAAACCTTGATAGGAAAAACCCAGTGGGAAAAATCCTAAGCGAAGGAAAAAGAGTACAACATGCATGTATCATGGATGCTCCCCCTGAATTGGATCTCCCCCTGATTCTGCATTCTTCAAATTTGTAAGCCGACGTAATCCGATTCCCTGCACCAGCTTCTGAAATATGCACTTTGGTAGAGATTTGGTGAACAAGTCTGCTAAATTTTCATTGGAACGGATTTGTCTGACTTCAATAACTTTAGCCTTCTGAAGCTCATGTGCGCTGAAAAATCTTTGAGATATGTGTTTAGTCTTATCACCTTTGATAAATCCTTCCTTCATCTGGGCGACACATGCTGCATTATCTTCATGGATGACAGTTGGAGTGTCTGTCTTTGAAGGTAGACCACATGAATTCCGGATGTGATGGATCATTGATCTTAACCAAGAACATTCACGACTTGCTTCATGTAGAGCAATTATTTCCGAATGATTGGAAGATGTTGCAACTAGCGTTTGCTTCGTTGATCGCCATGAAATTGCAGTATCTTCATTAGTGAACACATATCCATTTTGTGAGCGGGCTTTATGCGGATCGGAGAGAAAACCAGCATCTGCGTATCCAACAAGGATTTGTTCATTTGTGGGCTTGTCTGAGTAGAAGAGACCCATATCTGTTGTCCCACGAAGGTATTGTACAACATCTTTGACTCCCTTCCAATGACAAATTGTTAGAGCAGAGCTGTACCTGGCTAACAAGTTAACTGAAAAAGCTATATCTGGTCTAGTACATTGTGCTAAATACAATAAAGCACCTATTACGCTCAAATATGGTACTTGAACCAAGGACCAGTTCATCATCTTCCTTTGGACGGAATGGATCTTTCTTAATGTCTAAAGAACGAACGACCATGGGGGTGCTAAGTGGATAAGCCTTGTCCATGCCAAATCGCTTCAGTATTTTTTCAATGTAAGCTGATTGATGGACCAAAATTCCACTAACATAATGCTCGATCTGCAGGCCTAGACAATATTTGGTTTTCCCAAGGTCTTTCATTTCAAATTCGCTTTTCAGATATTCAGCAGTTTTATGGAGCTCTTCAGGAGTCCCAACTAAGTTCATATCATCAACATATACTGCCACTATAGCAAATCCAGAGTTGGATTTCTTAATGAACACACAAGGGCAGATGACATTGTTGATATATCCTTCTTTAATCAAATACTCACTGAGACGATTATACCACATTCGCCCAAATTGTTTCAGCCCATATAGTGATCGCCTTAACTTGATTGAGTACATACCCCGTGGTTTGTTTGTTGCTTCAGGCAACTTAAGTCCTTCTGGGACTTTCATATATATGTCAGTATCTAATTCTCCATATAGATACGCGGTGATGACATCCATAAGGCGCATGTCAAGTTTTTCTGAAATCACCAAACTTATTAAGTAACGGAACGTAATTGTGTTCATTACAGGAGAGTATGTCTCCTCATAATCAATTCCAGGTCTTTGTGAAAAGCCTTGTGCAACGAGTTGTGCTTTGTATCTAGCAATCTCGTTTTTCTCATTGCGTTTCCTTGTAAATACCCATTTGTAACCTACGGGGTTTACATCAGTTGGGGTTTGGACTACTGGTCCAAAAACACTTCGCCTTTCCAAGGAATTTAATTCTGCCTGGATTGCATCTTTCCACTTAGGCCAATCTTGTCTCTGTTTGCATTCATCAACAGAGCGGGGCTCAATATCATCACTTAATATGATTTCAGTGGCTACTGCGAATGCAAACATATCGTCAATGATTATTTCATTCCGATCCCACAATTCATTAGTACATGCATAATTTATGGACATTTCTTTGCTTTCATGTACTTCTGTCTCTTCATGGCCATTTTCTTCTTCTGGAAGTCCAGAGTCATGAATTGTGGATTTGTCATTTACTCTCTCTTCCTGAATGATTTCATTTGGATTCAGTTGTGCCCTCGTTTTTCTCTTCCGAGGGGCTGAATCTTTTGAACCTGGTGGTCTACCACGCTTCAGGCGTGCACCAGATGAATCATTCGCTGCCACTTTATTTTGTCCAACAGGGACATCAATTCTGGCAAGTGCATTTGCAGCTGGTATATGCGATTTTGTCACTTTCATAGCGTCATTAAATGCATCTGGCATTTGATTGGCAATGCTTTGAAGATGAACGATCCTTTTCACTTCATTTTCACATTGAAGGGTTCGAGGATCAAAATGAGACAAGGTGGGAACAACCCATGTCAGCTCTTTCCGTTCTTCTGGAACGGTCTTTTCTCCCCCTAACGATGGGAAGACTGTCTCATCAAAATGACAATCAGCAAAACGAGCTGTAAACATATCATCTGTCAAGGGTTCCAAATATCTAATAATAGATGGTGAATCAAAACCCACATAAATTCCCAGTCTACGCTGAGGTCCCATTTTAGTGCGTTGCGGGGGTGCAATAGGCACATAAACAGCACAACCAAAAACTCGTAAATGTGAAATGTTTGGCTGATGTCCAAACACGAGTTGTATTGAAGAGTATTGGTGGTTGGCTATAGGTCTCAATCGAACCAATGATGCAGCATGTAGAATGGCATGTCCCCATGCAGAAACTGGCAATTTGGTTTTCATAAGCAGAGTGCGGGCTATTAACTGAAGCCGCTTGATCAATGCTTCTGCTAAACCATTTTGAGTATGGACATGAGGAACAGGGTGTTCAACATCAATGCCCAATGTCATGCAGTAATCATCAAAGGTTTGAGATGTAAATTCACCAGCGTTATCAAGTCGGATTGATTTAATGGGATAATCTGGGAATTGTGCTCGTAACTTAGTTATCTGAGCGAGAAGTCTCGCAAAATCTACATTCCGAGTAGACAAGAGACAAACATGTGACCATCTGGTGGATGCATCAACCAAAACCATAAAATATCGAAATGGTCCACAAGATGGTTGAATAGGTCCACAGATATCCCCTTGAATTCTTTGTAGAAATGATGGGGATTCAGCATCAACCTTTAGTTGTGATGGTCTAATTACCAACTTCCCTTGAGAACAAGCCTTGCAAGGGTTATCATTTGAGATAGCAATGTCTTTGCTCAATAATGGATGTCCATTAGAGTTGGTAATGATCCTACGCATCATGGTGGATCCTGGATGACCCAGACGGTCATGCCAAAGCATGTAAACCTTTGAATCAATGAACTTCTGGTTCATGATAGTATGTGATTCAACTGTCCTTATGTATGTATAATATAATCCACTCACACGCAACTTCTCCAATATACGCTTCTAGGTATCATTGGAGGTAATGCATAGATACTCCACATTTTTTGCACTTTTCATTTCAATGTGGTATCCATTTAGACGTATGTCTTTGAAACTCAACAAATTTATAGTAGATCGAGTAGCATACAATGCATTTTGTATGGACATATTGTTCCATTTGGTAACATAATCTGGGCTTTCCCTGAGCCTTCAATCACATCTGAAGGTCCTGATATTGTTGTTACCCCTATTTTTGTAAGCATTAAGCTTGAGAAATACTTTCGATCACGAAGTATTGTATGTGTGGTTGTACTGTCTGCAAGACAAATATCTCCGCCATTTCTCATGTTCTGAGAATAACCACAGTTTTTATCCATGCTTTCTGAGTAAATGGAATCACAGTTAACAAACAATTTATAACAGGAAATTTACATGCCATTTTTATTGAATTTGAAAAACTAGTTTTAGACAACAAGTTCAGCATAATAAAAGTACATCAAACATAAATGATTTAGTCGAACCGATATACTTCATTCCCCCTTTCCATAATGAAGTCTGAAACATCTAGGTGAGTTGCGTCAAATTGCCCTGATAAATCAAACATTGGATCAGGTATATCCATTGGTTTAGCCTGGTCGAGAAAATTGGTCTCAACACCTTTCTTCTTGAGGGAGGCTTGATACAACTCCACCAGATGTTTTGGGGTACGACAAGTTCACACCCAATGCCCATTGCCACCACACCTATGGCAGGCTCATTCAGAGTTCATGTGAGCATTGGTCATGTTAGCTTTGCCTTTGTGACGATTCATATTTTTGAAGCTCGGGCCAGAATTATGCCTCTGAACCTGGTTGTGAAACTGATCACCATGGTTCGTGCCTTTCCTATTCCATCGACCTCGTTTGTGGCCACGTCCTTGTTTATGATAATTACCACCAGAGGATGTGGCGTTCACTTCGAGGGAAGCAGCATTTACTTCTGGGAATGGTGCAGATCCAGTAGGTAGGGAATTATGGTTTTTCATCAGGAGCTCATTGTTCTGTTCAGCTACCAGAAGTACAGATATCAGCTGGTTGTATTCAGTGTAGCCTCGCGCTCTATACTGCTGCTGGAGGAGCACGTTATTGGCATGAAATGTGCTGTAAGTCTTTTCCAGCAATATTTCATCAGTAATGGTATCCCCACAGAGCTTCATCTGAGAGGTAATCCTGAACAACGCAGAATTGTACTCCGCCACTGATTTGAAATCCTGAATTCTCAGGTGAGACCACTCATAGCGAGCTTTTGGAAGAATCACCGTTGTCTGGTGATT